CCCCAAAACCCCAAAACCCCAAAACCCCAAAACCCCTTTATGAAATTAAGCAACTGAAAATTTTATCAATTATTCATAATGTCACGTAGGTTATTGATCCTGAAAGTTGTTGGGATTTGAAGCTTTCCTCATTACTTTTATCAGTCCAAACCTCTGCATAAAAATATGTATAAACTCAAGATTATAGACCAAAGGGTACAGAACAGGCATGCAAGCATGATCAGGAACGATCAAATTCAAATTTCTAATCCAATTTTGAACAACATCAGTGTGAATTCCCAAGCTTTAGAGTCTAGAGATGGCTTGAAATCTACTCGAAATCAGATGTAACTTTACAGCTTCACCTTCTATAGCTATTCTTCCCTTATGAATGCTAAAAATGAGTCCTTTCTGGCATTCCCAGGAAAAGGCGAGTACAACATTGAGCAAAGATTGAAAGGAATTGAAGAAAAGCTTCAAAATGCGAGCAGAAGACACTTAAAGAATTTAGGTAAGCTTCTTTAAAATGTTGGTCAATAAAACCCCTGAAGCTGGAATTTAAACAAAATTATAGTAAGCAAGCAGGTAATCTCGGTGGGCCATCTCTAGGCGATCAGTAGGATTACTAGTGACTACAGTAAATTATTAAGCATGGATCCTTCCCAATATCAGAAGAAAATTGGTAAATTTCCTTCGTAATCTCATAGAGCACGAAAGGTTGAAAAGAGCTCTTGACTCACAGAAAAGTAGACAAAAGCAGATGAAGCATTTTGAGGAAGAAAAATGTCGTAAAATACAGGAACTCCGAGATCATAAGAATGAGCAATTTAGGTTAAGAAAAGAAAGGATTATGAACAATAAGATAATGCAGATGCGCAGACTCAGAAATTTGAGCCAGATTATCAGCAGTACGTTCTTTTAGAGTTTTATAATATAGAGAAGCAAAAATAATGCAAGTATTCATCGGAATTCTTCCGATTTTATTGTCAATAAAAAGAAGAGAGATGCACTCCGCACACAAAGGTATGGAACGATCCTAATATTTAGGTTTCAAAGGAATTTACAAATTGAGAAACAGAAGCAAATGGATCTTAAAATGAGAGTTCTTGAGAAAGAAAAACTTGGTGAGTACAGGGTAGCTAAGACTAAACACAACCAAGCTAAGGCAAAGAAAGCTCTTGAAGAGCTCCTTAGGATGAAAAATATCGATCAAACCCACTCCAGTTCACTAGTCGGGATGCTTGAAAGAAGCAGACATATGAGGCATAGGTCAATGCAGCACGTAGAGTCCTCATCCTAGACTTGTTTTCAATATAAATACGTGAAAAGGGGTTTTGGGGTTTTGGGGTTTTGGGG